AAAGGAATAAAAATTGATGGGGCAGGATAGGAGGAGGACTGTTGCTGTAGAGAAAGACTTGAGAGGGAATGGGGCCAGTGAGTAGGTAGAGATGCTGGCTTTTGCATAGGAGCTTGGGAATTTTTATAGTTCTCGGAATAAATTTTTAACTTTTGTTACACGTTAAGTGTTTTCTTTCTGACGCTATTGTAAATGAATTTCTTTTTGAATGGTACATTGCTAGTACAGAGATAGAAGTGATTTTGTTGTTGTTTTTGTTGGTCTTGTCCTGTGCCTTCTTGCCAAATGTGTTTATTCCTAGTTTTTTAAAGGGAATTCATCAGGATTTTCTATAAAATATTATCTGCAAATACAGATAGTTTAACTCCTTTTGGATGCCTTCTATTTTTTCTTGACTAATTTTCCTGACTAGAACATCCAGTACTATGTTTAATAGAACATATTAACTGGTGACAGTGGATATATTTTTGTTCTTGATATGAAAGCAAAAATAGTATTTATCAAATATGATGTTACCTGTGGGTTTTTCATAGTTGCCCTTTATTGGCTAGAGCGAGTTCTGTTCCTAATTTTGTTGAATGCTTTTTTCATGAAGGAGCATTGCATTTTGTCAGATGCTATTTCTGCATCTGTTTGAGTGTTTCTGGATTTTTTTGCCCTTTAATGTGAGAAATGACAATGATTTTTGGGGTATGTTGAATCAATTTTGCATTCATGGGATAAATCCCACTTGGTTATGGTATGTAACACTTATTGCCAAATTTGGTTTGTTAGTATTTTGTTGAAGATTTATGCATCTGTATTCATCAGGGGTTTTGGTCTGTAGTTGTACTTTTTTGTGATGCCTTTGTCTGGTTTTGGCAGTACTCATCTTACCGAGTGGGTTAGGAAGCATTCTCTCCTATATTACTTCTTGGGATAATGTGAGAAATTGGTATTGAAGATTTTTCTTTTCTTTCTTTTTTTTTTTTTTTGGTATAACCAGTGAAGCTGCCTGGATTTTCTTCGTGCGAAATAAAAATTTCTAATTCCGTTTTCGTACTTGTTATAGGTCTATTCAAATTGTCTATTACTGAATCAGTTTTTATAGTTAATGCCTTTCTAGGAAACAGAAATTTCATGTAATTTGCTGAAAATTCCTTATTTCTGGGAAGTTGGTAGAAACACCACTTTGATTCCTGATTTCACTAATTAGAATCTCCTCCCCCACTTGGTTCATCCAGTTGAAGTTTGTCAATCCTGTTAATTCTTCAAAGAACTGAGTTTGGATATTGATTTTTTCCCCCCTCTTTTTATACTCTCTACTTCATTTATTCTAATCTCTATTTACTACTTACACTTGATTTAATTTGAGGGTGTTCTGTTATAATTGGTGTTTTTCCAAAAATCTTTTTTTTTTTTAAGATTTTATTATTTGAGAGAGAGAATGAGATAGAGAGAGAGCATGAGAGGGAGGAGGGTCAGAGGGAGAAGCAGACTCCCTGCAGAGCAGGGAGCCCGATGCGGGACTCGATCCTGGGACTCCAGGATCATGACCTGAGCCGAAGGCAGTCGCTTAACCAACTGAGCCACCCAGGCGCCCCTGTTTTTCCAAAAATCTTAAGATAGGAGTGTAAGTCTTAAGGTAGAAGGTTTTGGCCTTGAGAATGTCTTTATACATAGACATGCACAGCTACAAATTTCCCTCTTACAACTGCTTCAGCTGCATGCTGTGTTTCATATTGTATCTTTTCATCTCAGTATCTTCTGTTTCTCTGATTTCTTCTTGGGTTCATTGTTAGTATGTACACCTTCCACAGTTTTGAAATTCTCACATGTAAGTTTTTTGACAGATTTTTTTGAGGTATAATTGATATACAACATAAGTTTCAGTTGTACAACATAATGTTTTTACATTTGTTTACATTGTGAAATGATCACCAAAATAAGTTAACATCTGTCACCAGACATAGTTACAGAACCCTTTCCTTAGGATTTTTAAGATCTCTAAGCAACTTGATACTGTGGAGCATTAATTATAGCCCATGCTGTACATTACATCTCCAGGACTTAATTTGTCACTGGAAGTTTTACCTTTTGAATGTTCTCATCCATTTTGCCCACCTCTGTCCCCCGACTTCTGGCCACCAATCTGTTGTATCTTTTAGCCTTTACATATATAGGTGAGATCATAAGGTATTTGTCTTTCTCTGACTTGCTTCACTTAGCACATTGCCCTTGAAGTCCATCCATATTGTTGAAAGTACTTACTTTGTTGAAGCAACTTCATTATGGCTGAAAAATACTTCCTTGTGGATATATGTAGCACATGTTCTTTTTATCCATTCATTGGTTGGTAGACCTTTAGTATCAGTTCTAGATGGTGATAGTCTCCCTCCCATTTCCTCAGGACTTACTGTTGTATGTGACTTGGCTGGTCTATTTCAGTAAAGTCTTGTTTCCCCCTACCCAGTGAAGTCTCTAAAATCACTATACAGAGGGTGCAGTCTTGGGCATGAATGTAGCCAGCCTGGAATGAAAGTAGTTTAGTAGGGTTCCTTTTGCCTTTTGTTGTTAATCTCTTACTGTCTCTGATACCACACTAAACTGATAAACTCTATTCGTTGCCTGCAATTGCTTGCTTGCTTGCTTTCTGTCTCTTTCTCTCTCTCTGTTTCTTTCTTTTTCTTTCTGTCTCTTTCTCTTTCTCTCTTTCTTCTTTCTCTTTTTCTCTCTCTTTCTCTTTCTCTCTCTCGCTCTTGCTCTTTAGCTCTCTCTTTCTTTCTCTCTTTCTTACAATGCCTGAGCTACAAAATGCTCTATAATCTGATTCAATTTAACTTTGGCTCCATGGCAAAGGTAGTTTTTGAGGTCAGTATTGGAAGTTTGCTCTGATTCCAGGGGGGCTGTTGCTACTTGTCTCTCTCTCTGTGGTTATCTCTGGTAAACTTGCTTACCAATAGTTGAGCTTTATGCTGTCTTGTAGCTACCACCTTCCTCTTAATTGCTTAGCACGGTAGTCTCCATTTCTTTTGCAAGTGCACTTAGGTTTAAACTTGGTCACAGTCAGTTATTCAAGGTGAGTTCCCTTTGGGAGAACTTAATAGTTCTGTTCTTACAGCCTGTCTCTCTCCCTGTAAAAAATCACCACACTGTTACTCAGTGGGGCATAATACCTTGTTTTTCTAAGTGACACTTCTACTTCATGAGCAGAGTGGTCCATGGAGATATTTGAAGACTCTTACCTTTTTGTTATGCTTCTCCTGGTGTGAAACCTCTGCCCTGTGTGAGATTGGGGGTTAAGGGTGTTCAGGGCCCAGTATACATTCTGTGTTTACTGTGCCTGGGGTAGATATTCCACTTGGTAGTGAAGGCTATGTAGTGGGAAGGGAGTCTCCAATCTCTTGTCCACAGTAGGCTTTAATTTAGCCTCTGTGACCTTGGGCTGAGTAGGATGGGAAATGCTAGTCCTCTGTCCTTTGAACTGGGAGATAGGGGGAGAGGAAAGCCCCATCTTTTCAGCCATACCTACTCTGAGTGGAACTTCAGTCACACTGAGCTGCGTGGATGATTAAGGAAGAAATAGATCATGACTTGAGTACCACAAACTCTGTTTTTACAAAGTTTTAGTTGATACTCTTAAAAAATGTTTCATCTGGTGCATGCCCTTCAAGGATTTTAAATGGTTGTTGTAAAATATTTTTCACTAGTTCTTTTGCTGGAGAGAAAGTCTGCTAAAGTCCTCATTCTGACACTTTGTGACTCATTCTCTTTTTAATATATTTGCTTCATGGCCTGGTATAGAATTCCAGCATTACCTATACATAGTTGCTGTATAAATAGAACTTTTCCCTTAAAAAGCTTTCTCTATATATGTATGCATGCAAATCTGTTTCTTTTGTATTCTTCTGTTGATAGGTGTCAGGCTTGACCAATTGGGTTTTCTTCTTATTTATCTTTCACCTACTTGGACATCACTCCCTCCGTATCAGCCCTGGCAGTCTCCTCATTTTTGCTTTTATTTCTGGGCTCCAAACTTCTACTTGAGTCACTGGAAATGGTGACAGTTTATAAACTGTCTCCTTGGCTCACATATTAGCTTTGATTTTCAGCCAGTCTCTGGGATTTTATAAGCTAGTTTATGGGCTATCTATCTTGCACAGATACGGTTCTTCTCAAGATCAAATTGGCTGGCTCATCAGTTTGATGTGCTGTAATATCTATGTGTTTGCTACGTGGACGGTAAGAACTTATGGAGGAGGTTTGGTTAACGGCCGACCACAGGAGAACTGTATTTTAAAGCCACTTCTCCAAAAGAGTTGTCTGGTAATGACTTTCAAGTCTACAATGAAACACTATTAAAGATAAAGGGGATAAATTGTCAGGTATGAAGGTACCTTTGTGTAATGTTGAGATGCATCTATAGGGGCGACAGCTTTTATCAGAGCAATTAAAATCAGTGGCTACTTTACCTGAGGGAATGTTGCTCTAAGATGGTTTGGAGGGAATGGTTGTTCACAGGAATTAGAGTGAGACATAAATTCATTGTTACTTAGCCTCAGTCTCATTTTGGGGATCTTTGGGAATAGATCTGTTGCCTGAATTATCTGTGTAGAAAGTAAAACTTTTGAAGGCACATTAATAAATATTGATGTGTACCATGTCCATTTTTTCCACAGTAACTCTTCTTTCACCCTTCTTTCACCTTCTCGGAATACCCCTTGGATCTTAGCATTCTGATCTAGTATTAGGTTTCAGTGGCCAGTGAGCAAAAGAATTTGTGAACCTATAATGGAAAAAAGAATCCCTATCTCTTTCATGGAACTGTAATATTGAGAAAGAGGGTTTTTGATAGTGAAATACTGCTTTAAGAACCAAATCAGCACTTGTTCAAATATTTTCTTGAGGTTACTTGTTAAAGCTAGAACTACAATCTCCCCAAAATGCGAGCGGTCAGAGTTTAACTTTGAAATAGGTTCTAGGTGAAATAAATGTTAACTGGATCTCTGTTTGTTCTTTAGGCAGCAGGAGCAATTCGACCTCTTGTATCTACTGTAATCAGTCCATCTGCTGATGGTTGCCTAGACCATTCACTAGAACGTGCCAGACACAGAGCAAGTGAAATGCCACAGGCTTTTCTATTTGATGTGATCTATGAAGCCTATCAGCAGGTAAGAATCCTGATTTCTGAAAATGGCTATGTTGGGGGTCCACAAGAATACTCCTCTTTTTGGAGATTTGCTGGAAGATTCCATGTATAGTTAGACTCAAGTTAAAATTGCTAACAGTGAAGTAGAGCGGATTCACAGCTGAGTCATAGGAGAAACGCATGCAGAGTTTGGGAGGATCCATGTGTGTTCTTGCTTAGGTTCATATCTTCCCCTGAGGGGTCACACAGAGCATCATCTTCTCCGCCACCCACCAGCAATGAAAATTTAGCAACATGTGGGTGATGGTTCTCTTCAGGGAAGCCCATTAGAGTCTGGTGTTTAAGGTGTTTATTGGGGTTGGTCACATAGGCATCCCCTGCCTCAGCATGTACAAAAGCTTCAGATTCCCAGAAGGAAAGCAGGTGTCTAACATGAGCAATGCTGTTTATGCAAATAGTATGAGCATAGTTGAACCACACTTACTAACTGTTCACTGAGAAAATTACAAGAGCCAATTTCCCATATCCAGGTGGAAGGGTAGTCTTTCTAACCATTTAAGGCCTGTATGGTAAGTTTCTTGCGCAGCTGTAGATACTTTATCATTTGAATTCACAAACTAACTTCTTCTAAAATCTCACATAATCGATTTGTGTTTAGAAATTTTTCTTTGTTTTTATGTTCTGAAAATGCTTTGGGACCTTTTGCTGACATTTATTGCAAATTTATGGATTAAATAGTTATTAATTATTAGGTATTTTGCTTATCAGAAACTTCCCAATGAAATAAGTTAGAACTAACTCACTGTTCAGTGGATGTTAAACAATCAGTGAAGAGTTTGGAATAGATGGACTTTTAAGAAAATGAAGGTAGTGGTAATAGGAATATTGACATTTATAATACAAAAATGCCTCTTACCTTGGATAGAAGGTGGTCACATACATAATAAATTGAATGAATCTTGATTAGTTTTTTTTTGACCATATTTTTTTATTGTTATGTTAATCCCCATACATTACATCATTAGTTTTAGATGTAGTGTTCCATGATTCATTGTTTGTGCATAACACCCAGTGCTCCATGCAGAACGTGCCCTCCTCAATACCCATCACCAGGCTAACCCATCCTCCCACCTCCCTCCCCTCTAGAACCCTCAGTTTGTTTTTCAGAGTCCATCATCTCTCATAGTTCATCTACCCCTCTGATTTCCCGATTGGTTAGTTTTAAAATGAGATGATGTAAATAAGAATCCATTTTAATGATATGAATAGTCTGCCATGGTTTGTACCATTTTCTTAAAATAATGAATTTGGTGTATTGGAATTTACCTGTATATGGCCATATCAATGTAAAGCTATCATAAATTTTTTAAAATTTTATTTTATTTAAATTCAATTAACAGGGGCGCCTGGGTGGCTCAGTTGGTTAAGCGACTGCCTTCGGCTCAGGTCATGATCCTGGAGTCCCGGGATCGAGTCCCGCATCGGGCTCCCTGCTCTGCAGGGAGTCTGCTTCTCCCTCTGACCCTCCCCCCTCTCATGTGCTCTCTCTCATTCTCTCTCTCTCAAATAAATAAATAAAATCTTTAAAAAAAAAATTCAATTAACATACAGTGTATTACTAGTTTTAGGGGTAGGGTGCGGTGATTCATCAGTTGCATATCACAACCAGTGCTCATTACATCACGTGCGCTCCTTTAATGCTCCAATTTTTTATTCAAATACTGTATTTTATAGCCTAAATGTGTAGAGTTAGACAACATCTACCTTATTTCCTGAAATTATTCATCTTTAAACACTTGGAGTTATTACCTATCATTCTTCCTAATATATTTTAGAAGACAAATTGAATATGATCTCATGTTCTGCACGTCAGAGAAGCATTTTTCCAGTTTTTGCTGGAGAATTAAGTGCTAATGCATTGAGGTACTGTTTCTCAAAGTGTGGTTCCCAGATAACATCGGTGTGCTTTGGAACTTGTTAGAATGCAAATTCAGGGGCTCCACCTCAGACTTACTTAATTAGAAACTGTGGGAATGGGCCCCAGCAATTTGTGTCTCAACATCTCTGCCATGTGATCCTAATGCACATTGCAGTTAGGGAACCACCACCCTAAGGCATTCACTGTATGTAATGAATTAAACACTCTTGTACTGCATTCTTGGGAGAATTCAGAAAATAGTAACATGATGATAATTATCTGTGTTCTGTGGTTCAGATGAGGAATTCTTAATCATGGAATTGTTCTGAAGGTTTTGCTGTAAGATCTTTATTTAATTTTTTCCCAAGTTTTTATTAAAATTCCAGCTAGTTAACACATTGCATTGTTAGTTGTAGGTGTAGAATTTAATGATTCATCACTTACATAGAATACCTGGTGTTCATCACAGCAAGTGCCCTCCTTAACACCCATCACCTGTTTAACAACCCCCTCCAACTCCCCTCCCATAACCCTCAGTTTATTCTCCATAGTTACAAGTCTGTTTCTTGGTTTGCCTCTTTTTGTCCCCCCTATGTTCATTTGTTTCTTAAATTCCACCTATGAGTAAAATCATGGTATTTGTATTTCTCTGACTTATTTTACTTAGCATAATACTCTCTAGCTCCATCCATGTCTTTGCAAATGGCAAGATTTCATTCTTTTTAATGGGTAATATTCCATTGTGTATATATACTACGTCTTTATCAGTTGGACATTTGGGCTCTTGGCATAATTTGGCTATTGTAAATAATGCTGCTATAAACAGGGTGCATATATCCCTCTGAATTAGTATTTTTGTATTCTTTGGGTAAATATTTGGATAAATACCAGTACAAATGCTGGATCATAGGGTCTTCTGTTAACATTTGAAGAGTCTCCATATTCTTACAGAGTGGCTGCACCAGTTTGCATTCCTATCAACAGGGTAAGAGGGTTCCCCTTTCTCCGCATCTTCGCTAACACCTGTTGTTTGCTGTGTTAATTTTAGCCATTCTGACAGGTGTGAGGTGATGTCTCATGGTAGTTTTGATTTGCATTTCCCTGATAATGAGTGATGTTGAGCATCTTCTCATGTGTCTGTTAGACCTATGTCTTTTTTGCAGCAATGTCTACTGATGTCTTTTGCCCATTTTTAAACTGGATTATTATTATTTTTTTTGCATGTTGAGTTTGATAAGTTTTTAATAGATCTTGGATGCTTACCCTTAATCAGATATGTCATTTGCAAATACCGTCTCCCATTCCATAGGTTGACTTTCAGTTTTGTTGATGGTTTCCTTTGCAGTGCAGAAGATTTTTATTTTGAAGTCCCAATGGCTTACTTTTGCTTTTATTTTTCTTGCCTCAGGAGACCTATCTAGTAAGAAATTGCTATGGTTCAAGTCAGAGAGGTTACTGCCTGTGTTCTCTGGGATTTTGATGGTTTCCTAGCTCACATTTAGGTCTTTCATCCATTTTGAATTTATTTTAGTGTATGGTGTAAGAAAGTGGTGCAGTTTCATCCTTTTGCATCTTGCTGTCCAGGTTTCCTGACACCATTTGTTTAAAAGCTTATCTTTTTTCTCCATTGGATATTCTTTCCTGCTTTGTTGAAGATTAATTGCCCATATAGTTGCAAGTTCACTTCTGAGTTTTCTATTACGTTGCATTGATCTATGTGTCTGTTTCTGTGCCAGTACCATACTGTCTCAATCACTACAGCTTTGTAATACAACTTGAAGTCTGGAATTGTGATGCCTCTACCTTTGCTTTTCTTTTTCAAGATTGCTTTGACTATTGGGGATCTTTTGTGGTTCCATACAAATTTTAAGACTGTTGCTTCTAGCTCTGAAAAATGCTGGTGATACTATGATAGGGATTGCATTAAATGTATAGATTGCTTTGGGTAATGTGGACATTTTAACAATGTTTGTTTTCCCAGTACATGAGCATGGAATATCTTTCCGTTTTTTGACTTGCTTTCATCAGTGTTTTATAGTTTAAGAGTACAGATCTTTTATATCTTGGTTAGCTTTATTCCTACGTATCTTACAGTTTTTGGTGTAATTGTAAATGGGATCGGTTCCTTGGTTTCTCTTTCTGCTACGTCATTATTGGTGTATAGAAACGCAATAGATTTTTGTACATTGATTTTTGTATCCTGCGACTATAATGAATTTGTGTATCAGGTCTAGCAGTTTTTTGGTAGAGTCTTTTGGGTTTTCCATACAGAGTATCATGTCATCTGCAAAGAGTGAAAATGTGACTTCTTCCTTGTTGGTTTGGATGCCTTTTATTTCTTTTTGTTATCTGATTTCTGAGGCTAGGACTTCTGGAATTATGTTAAATAACTGTAGTGAGAGTAGACATTCCTGTCTTGTTCCTGACCATAGAGGAAAAGCTCTGTTTTTCCCCAGTGAGGATGATAGTACCTGTGGGTTTTTCATATATGGTCTTTATGATATTGAGGTATGTTCCCTCTAACCCTCCTTTGTTGAGGGTTTTTATCATGAATGAATGTTGTACATTGTCAAATGCTTTTTGTACATCTACTGAGAGGATCATATGGTTCTTAGCCTTTTATTAATGTGGTGGATCACATTGACTGATTTTTGAGTATTGAACCACTGTTGTAACCCAGGAATAAGTCCCACTTGCTTGTGGTGCATGATCCTTTTAATGTACTGTTGGATTTGATTTGCTAGTATTTTGACAATTTTTTCATCCATGTTCATTAGTGATACTGGCCTGTAGTTCTTTTTTAGTGGAGTCTCTGGTTTTGGAATGAGGTTACGTAATGCTGGCCTCATAGAATGAGTTTGGAAGTCTTCCTTCCATTTCTGTTTTTTTTTTTTTAAATGTTTGGTAGAATTCCCCAGGGAAGCCATCTGGCCATGGACTTTTGTTTGTTGGAAGATTTTTGATTACTGATTCAATTTCTTTGCTGGTTCATGTTTTCTATTTCTTCTTGCTTCAGTTTTGGTTGTTTGTTTCTAGGAATTTACCCTTTTCTTCCAGATTGTCCAATTTGCTGGGATATAATTTTCATACTACTATAATTGTTT